AAAAAAAAAACATTTTTTCCCATAATTCCAGAGCTCATATTATCCGAAGGCTAGGAGGGTCCATGCACAGGTTCTAGTATGACCTCTTATATCACACTGATATCCCTGTAAAGTGCTTGTTTCCCTCCAGGAGTAGGCAACTCACTACCTCTCAAGGAAACCTATTCCCTTTTTGATTCTATTTGAAAATGCTTTTTTGTATTGGAGATGAAACTCATCTGTCTGTAGTTACATCCTTCAGAATTGAAAAGTTGGGTCTTAACATAGTAAATCTAAATCTCTCTTCAGATACTTAGAGGCCACTCTCATCCCCAACTCCTACCTTTTTCCTCTGCTAGGCTATAATATGTATTCCTTTCTCATATGGAATAGCTTTGATTTTTTTAATCACTCTGAACACTCTCCTTGGAAGAAGCTCAAATTTGCCCGTATCCTTCTTAAAGGCATGGTGCTGAAGGAAGATAGACTTTATTTCAGAATATTTACATTAAATTACAGCTCCACTACTTACTAAATGTTGGAACTGGGGCAACTTTGTCACTAAGGGTAGTAAGTAAAAAGAGACAGAGTCTAGTGGTCAAAACAGGCAGTAAACAAGTTAACAAACAAATTTGTAATCAAAGCCTGGAATAAGTAGTGCAAAGAGTTTTCAAGGGAGTTTGGAGGCCCCAGGGTACTCAAAAACCAGCCTCCTGAGACAGAAGCTGAGCGATTTGTGATGGGAATGAGACAGAATGTGAGCTAGGACATGATGGTGCTGAGGTGGGAAACGTGTTTTCTAACAACTGAAGCAGGCAAGGGGCTAGAGCTTAGAAGGAGCAGAGGGGAGCAGAGTGGGTGGGGTGTGGGAAGTGCGGAGCTCTGGAGGCAATGTTGAGAGCTTGGAAGTAGAAGGGAAAGCCATTGTTGGGTTTGAAGAAGAGTTATAGTGTCTGAAATGTACTTTTAAAAATTGTTCTCATGCTAGATGGAGAGCAGACTGGAGAAGACTAAAGTAGACATGGGACAGTGAGTTAGGAGGCAGTTGTCCCAGTCCAAGGGGGGAGGGTCATGTGCTACTTACGGCAACCAACCCCTGTGAGGTTTAAATGAGGGGCAGTCTCTATGGAGGTTAAGGCACAGACATGGCAGACAGACCGCCTGGGATTAAACTCAACTCCAGCAACTTGGCCAAATTTTTTTAACCTCTGTGCACCTCAGGTTCCTCCTTTATGAAAGGATGATCATGACAGGACTTCCATCATAGAGTTGTTGTAAGGAATAAACGATTTTATATGTGAGTTTCCTGTCAGCTAAATCTGCAAAGAATTTTTCACTAGTGTGACGTGTTCCATCCTATATTGCATTTTCAGACTCAGGCACACTTTTATTTTTTAATCTAGGAATGAGGAAGAACATAAGTGAGGAACGTGACCAGATTGCTTCTCACTTTTTGCAAACTATTTTTTGTTGGTTCAGTAGAGAAAACAGACAAACTAAGAGAGAAAAGACATCCTAATGACTATCTGTTGTATTTTTCTTTTTTGGTCATATTATATAAAGAACTGACACTTTGAATGTTGCATTTTTTAGCATGATGATTCTAATAGGACCTGTTTTGAATCTTGCTTAAAACCCAAACTCCTCTAGCACAGTGTGCATAATAACATAGCATCGCAGTTAAGTTGTGTCCCAGGCTGTTTCCTCTTGTGATAAGTTCACCCAGTTGAGTAACACTCCTTGTCTTACAGGCATCCCAGGAAGTGATTATGTGAATGCCAACTACATAGATGGCTATAGGAAACAAAACGCCTACATTGCAACACAGGGATCTCTCCCCGAAACGTTTGGGGACTTTTGGAGAATGATATGGGAACAACGGAGTGCCACAGTTGTCATGATGACAAAGCTAGAAGAAAGATCCAGGGTAAGAAGAAATGTCCACCTCTTCCCTCCTAAATATCTTCCCTCGGAGAGTCCCTACGTTGCATATGTTACTCTGTTCAGAATCTAACCTTTCCCTAAGACTTAACTTTCTAACAGACCCTAATTACAAATGGGCATCCCCAACTCTGATTAAACCATTCTTTAAAACTCTTCTGGGTCTCTTCAGAATAGAAATTCTCCCGTGTTATGATGTGTATGATTGCTAAAATGAAAAAAGTAATATTCAAGGAATTAGACAACATGGTTAGAGAAAATAAATATTAGCTTGAATGTTTTTCTAAAACTCACATTAAACAAGAACCCACAGGCTTTGGGAAAAATCCTAACAATACGTACTTCTCAGTATTTTCAACTTTTTCATTCTCACAACCTGTATTATAAGAGCTAAAATTCCGTGAAAGAGGCTCTTAAATTATTCAAATTAGCATAAGTTAAGTCAGGGCAGACAGAAAAATGATGTGGCTTAAAACACGGCTGAGAAAACAGCGGGTAGAGGGTATTTTGCTAGTTTAGACTTCTCCAAAATGAATAATTTTAATAACGAAGTCAATGCTTGTTAAGGTCCAAGAAAGGATTTTATTCATCATCTGGGTCCAATATTATGTTGCACGGCACATTAGTTAAGTGCTGTTGATTTGGAAAACTATAACATAATGGGTAAGCATTGTGCCGTATTCCCGAGTGCATGTGCTAATACTGTAGCCATCTGATGAAAATCAATCTTTAACCTTGAGAACTTAATGAAGAGGTCTCTGAAACAAACAAACAAAAAAATCACTGAAGATAGCACATACTCTCACTGAAGGGGTGGGGACGTTCAAGGCAGGGTTTGAATCGTTTTTCTTTTTGGTNTGAAAGAGGCTCTTAAATTATTCAAATTAGCATAAGTTAAGTCAGGGCAGACAGAAAAATGATGTGGCTTAAAACACGGCTGAGAAAACAGCGGGTAGAGGGTATTTTGCTAGTTTAGACTTCTCCAAAATGAATAATTTTAATAACGAAGTCAATGCTTGTTAAGGTCCAAGAAAGGATTTTATTCATCATCTGGGTCCAATATTATGTTGCACGGCACATTAGTTAAGTGCTGTTGATTTGGAAAACTATAACATAATGGGTAAGCATTGTGCCGTATTCCCGAGTGCATGTGCTAATACTGTAGCCATCTGATGAAAATCAATCTTTAACCTTGAGAACTTAATGAAGAGGTCTCTGAAACAAACAAACAAACAAAAAAAATCACTGAAGATAGCACATACTCTCACTGAAGGGGTGGGGACGTTCAAGGCAGGGTTTGAATCGTTTTTCTTTTTGGCGATGAAAATCAATCTTTAACCTTGAGAACTTAATGAAGAGGTCTCTGAAACAAACAAACAAAAAAATCACTGAAGATAGCACATACTCTCACTGAAGGGGTGGGGACGTTCAAGGCAGGGTTTGAATCGTTTTTCTTTTTGGTGGCTGGTTGGTAGGGGGATCCAGACCCATGACCTTGGAGTTACAAGGCTGTGCTCTAACAACCTGAGCTGAACAGCCAGCCCTTAGGGCAGGGTTTGAAACCACAGGTGAGATGTCTCTTTCACTGTAGTCACAGTGGTCTCAACAAGGGTATTTAAAGGGAAGCCAAATCTCAGTTTTCCATTTATCGTGTGACAGTTGAGTTTCTTTAAATGTTCTTCTAAGTTCAACACCCGGCAGTTTCTCTTAGCCCAGGTGTGTGTATGAGGGAAGAATTAAAGGCTGCCCAGGAGTTTTATAAGGGAAAAGCTGAGACATAGGAACATATTAAAAAGCCAGAACTGTTACCTTAAGGGTGGGAAATCAAAGGTTTAGCAAACGTAAAAAGCAGTCAGATCTTTTCAAAGCACCTGAACTCTATAAAAATGTTGAAATATTGCCTGAAATGAATTTTGATTAAAACAGCTCTGACTCTGAGGACAAATATCTATGCAAACCCCATTCAAAAGATGTAAATGGATCCATGTACTCAGGACAACCCCTACACAGAAAGCACTTTCTTTAAAAACAAGCCCCCCTCCCAAATGATCCTTGAATATAAAAGTTAATAACAATGTCTAGCATATTAGGTGCATTGATATTTCACAACCACCCTGTGATATGAACACTACTATGATCTCCACTTTACATATGAGTAAACCAAGGCCTAGAAAATTGCAGACAGTCACCCAAGGTCGTTCAGCTACTAAAGCCAGGAATATGAATTAAAGGCAGACATTTTGTCCCCACAACACACATGCTTCACCATCAGGCCATACTGCCTGTTAGCACGTCTGTGAAGCTGAGACAGCTGAACTATTATATTACGGCAGGCATGTAAATCCAAGCTACATGGTCTGCTCAGCCTGGAGATACCGGCTGGTAACAAGCAGTCATTTGCAAAAGCTGTTTTCAGTAAAACACACATTTTTATCTTGACACTGCAGGCCTTCATTAAACTGTGCACAGAAACTTGTTTTGAAATAACCAAATGAAATTCTGCCCCTTTTCTCCCTAATTGCTTCTAATAATAAAGTTAGTTCTAACTGGCCCCTCTGCCACTGCAACATCTGATGGTAATGAGCAGTGCTTGGCAGAAGGCATTGTGACTTAAATACCTACATTTTATCTTTCTGTTGCAGGCTACCTTTTCCACCCCTCCTCAGACAGAGGAACTTATTTGGAAGTTACTAAATGAACCTCTGTTTGCTCCCTTCATTAATTACTCTTTGCTCTTGCAAGTTAGCTTTCTCCTTTGTTAAATGGCCTAAGGAGGCCAATTAAAATGCTGTCTTGTGATTTTCATGCTGCGGTGGTTCAACCTGTACCCACAGTGGCAATGACCTGCATAAGCCAGTAGGCAGTTGGGAAGTCTCAATCATCATCAGTCTGACAATACAAATGTGCCTTGACCTCCAAGGCCCCAAAGCCCTTTGTTCCCCAGTCTAGAACACTTGGGAATGAATGACCAAATGTCATGGAGAGATTTAACGCAGCACTGGTGCCCTCAGTGATCTCACCTGCTCTTTCATCTTCCTCCCTCACATCATTCCCACCTTACCCCTTCCCTGTCCAGTTGCTCTTTCACCTAAGGTAGCAGGAAAAAGGGGGGAGGCATTCCTGGAGTCTCAGACAAGAACTTGAATTTCACTATAAAAACAATGTTATACATAGTGGTTAGTTGTTAGTGAAATATACAGTTCCATACTTGAGGAACATTGTGGGTTCTGTGGGCTGACCTGGGGACTCAGTGAATTCTCAGTTCCCAGCAGCCAACTTCAAAGCAGACATTTGAACTAGCCTGGCTCTACTTAGGAAGTGCCTGTCATCTCCTTTATAAAGGGAGGTGGTCCAGGTAGTTTAAACAAGGGTTGGAGCCTGAAATTTTATTACTTAGGTGAAGGCTCAGGTTCTTGAAATAACACACATCCCCATGGTATATGAAAAATGTGTGTGTATATGTGTGTGTGTGTGTAAACACTTCTATGAATTAGAAGTATGTGGGAATGCCTGTTGACTGTAGACTTGGGGTGGCAGAGAGAGAAGAAGGAAAGGAGAGAGCATGATACTCCCCAAGGCTGGCTGGGGACACCACCATCAGAGAGAGCAGCAGCTACATGACATAGTTCCAGGGAGGGATGCTTTACAGTCAAACATCTGGGTTCGGATTCCAGCTCTAGTGCTTAACATCTATATGACAGTGAGCAAGTTTACTTGACACCTCTAAGTCTCATTTCTACTTTTTGGGTTACGTGGCATAGTCATCGTGGGTATTGGCTGACATAAGGAGTATGGCATGGTGACTCAATGAATCTCAGCTATTACTACTGTTTGGAAAAGAGGTTGGAGGCTTTACCATTACAACTTCAGTTTCTTCTAAGCTGGCCTCCAAATAATTTAATTTTTGTTCCCAAATGAAACGAGTTTGTTTCTTGGTGGTGAACAGTGAATCCTGACCAGCCTCACAGAATCACTCGCATGGTTAATTCTGCCCTCTGTTCCCAGCATAGCACACCCATGCATTTTGGTCAAAAGGAGAGTGGAGCTCAGACCATGGGATGCTTTTGCACTTTCTCTCCCCCAAGACAGGCCCAGGGAGCTTGTTAATCTGTCTGCAAATAGACCAAATAGAACATCTGGCTGCTACTTTCACTGCAACCATATTTTGAAGAAATAGAATACCATATTGTGAATAATATAGATTTGGGTCACATGTAGCGATAATTGTCACTGAAGATAATATGTTCCTGACACCACAGTTCCTTTTTGTCCGATTTTTCATTCCCCCTCCCCTTTCTTATTTATTTGATGATGCTGGGGACCTCTCTCCTTAGAGCCAGTCTCTGTTTTCAAGCTTTCTGTTTGCCTAGGCCTGGTTCACTCCAGCCTTGTCACTCAGGCCTGAGGCTTCTCAGCAGGGCTGGTGACCTTTGCTGAGTTAGAACAGCTCTCTGAGGCAAAAGGCTCCTGGGTTCATTAACATGTGGTAGAAGTTGCACTGGCCTCTTTGTAGAGAACTGGCCATTCTTAGCATTTGCCCAGCTAAAAAAGCCTTTACACTTGTGAAGTGTGACTTCGGACTTAAATTGCTCATTTGAAAACTTAAGGTATTTGATTTTCAAATACTATCGGTTCCCTTCAAATGTGGCCTTGAAAGAATTCCAAACTTGACTGAAAAGATTATTTGCATGGTATATACATTCAGTTATCAACGCTGAAGAAAAAAGTATAAGTGGCATATTTCATATGAGTTTCATTAGGGTATATATAAAAATAAATAAATAAAATAAAAAATAAGACTAAAAGCTGGGGATTTTGAAGGTAAAATGTGATTGCTGCCTGAAACACACAGATCAATTTAAAGTTGTCATAGAATGGACTGTGTGATATGAGATACTGTTAGTGGGTTTTATTCCACAGTTTCCATCTTTATTGCCAAATCCTCTCAAGTTCTGCGTAGTTCATTGATACTGTAGTGAGTCATTC